ACTTTTTGTCCTGATCCATTTATATAAAAACCTGTCTGAAAATGAGCTGATTTGGCCGCTTTATGATGTCATAACGATTGTTTGGCTTGTGTAACCATCTGCCAATAACCAACCAAGGTAACACCCGCCCTCCTTTTCACCTGAGTCTCCTCCTAGAGCACCATTGTGTTTTTTTTAACCAAATATCTCGCAGAGTGGCATGGGGAGTGGCTCCTTATTTTCATCTAAAATAAAAGACAGAGAATCAGCACTTTTGGAACAGGTCTGAAACAGAGGGGTTTATGGGATGCTGCAATGCATGAACTGTTTGGTATTTCGAGGCAAACAGTTCAGAGACATGTCAGAACGGTCTCAGTTTGTGTCAGGGTTTCCGCCAGGATTTGTGATCCTCACATTCTGAAATCTCTTCTTCTACATCATCATCAAGTGGTTCTCTCTCCCAGAATCATTTGCAAGGTCCTCTGAGCAGAGAATCGCTTGGCCATCTTGATCAGTTGTGATAAGGACCCAAACTGGCCAGTGGCGGATTTAGGTTTGTAGGAAGGATTACTTCTTCTTCAGGGCAGGGAAGGCTACGCAGTACGCAGGCTACTGTCCCGCAGCTGCTGCCTCTCTGTTGGACTCCGGTACGGCACATTACTCAAGAGACGTTTTTAAAAAAGAAAGTGCTTTAAGTGAAACATTTGGGGCTTTTCAGAAAACATCCGGGGCTTGAGCACAAGTAGCCCCCCCATAGCGCAGCCACTGAAACTGGCAAAGCTTTATTTATTGTGTCACGCCCCAAATTTGCAGCTTGGATAGGGTGTGAAAAAAATTAAGATTGGTTCCCGCAAAACATAATGCGGGAATGTGAGAGCAGACAGGTGTCGGTGCTTGAATTTATCAACAATGTTGCAACCTTGTGAATGGCAGGGGCAAAAACACAAAAGTCTCACACACACACACACACACACACACACACACACACACACACACACAAACACTAACACACACACCTCGCAGAAACAGCAGAACACACACACATAGAAGGCCCAGACAGGTGCACAGGACCCGCAATTTCTAGTGGGTGGTCATTAGTGCGAATGCTGTGCAACAATTTCAAAACAGAGTGGAGGAGTGCTTGAAATTCGCACAAAAAAAGGATAACCTCTCCTACATTGAAAAATAAAAAAAAGTTAAGCAAATTAATTAAACAAAAGGCCTCTTGAGGGCATAAGGTGACAAAGACGTTCAACATGTCTCCAGTAAGGCCCATTAATGGGCCCATTTAAGGCAGTCAATTCAGCCTGATCTTTCCTCACAGTAGCAGCTGCACTCCTGCCAAAAATGCCACATTATTGACCCGAAAGTGCACCAAAAGCAGACTCCGACGCTCCTCACGGTCCTGACATGCTTCACGCGCTGACATTTTACCGAAAGCTGCTACGGTTCTTCAACAAAACGTTCAAATGTAAGAGGTTTATCTCTTAATCCGATCAATGGAAAGGCTCTCCTCTCACAGACTACTGCACATCACCATGGAAACCTTTGATCTCTGCACACAGGTGTTTGATAACGTCGTCACCATGGACACCTTTGATCTCGGGGCTCACACACAGGTGTTATGATTAGGTGTTATGATGAGGTGCTCAGCACAGAAACAAACAATGACATACAGACTGTCTCAGCCTAATCTTTTCTATCTGATGGAGACTTCATACTGACTTCAACATGTTCCATATATGTTATACATTATTGGTGACGTATGGTCTTTGTTCAAAAGTTTGCAGTTAAAATATTCTGCTGCTTTTCAAAGCGTTTTTACTTTGTTTTCTCTTCTTAATAAACATTCATTCACTACTACTTACATTTCATATCTAACTCCTTCAGCCTACTTTCAGCTACAGAAACCATTCAACTATTACATTATTCAGCTATTTCAGGACATCGAGGCTATACATTTAGTTGTTTATACCTTTCTTAAACATGTTCTTTTAAATATTAAGCTTCTTCACTATTTTTCACTTTCAAGTTTTCAACAAAGTCATTGCAATGCATTTGAGCTGGAACAATTTTGATTCAAATAATTTCACTTTTCTGCATTTTTCCGCTAAGTTCAGCAACACACTTACTTGGTTTTTGTTTGGTCTTCCTGGTTGAACTTGCGCTGAGCTTCATATAGCTATTATTGTACAATATTAAACAATTAAAGGATGTATAGCTCACCTTTTGTGCCATTTTTGCACATCATGCTCCATTATGATAAGCGGAAAGTAGTTTTCCTTGTAATCCGCAGAGAGATAGTAGTGGATAACATAAAACAGCAATAACAGAGGTACTTCCATCTCTCGACACAGTGAAGCTGAGTTATTTACAAATGAAGATAATATTTCCTGTGGTATTCAATGGTTCATCAAGGTAGTAACAGTCTTCCTCTGAAAGTGCTCCTGTACGTTACATCACTTGTTGGAGAGAGTGAGAGTCATTGACCATGATTCTCGCTGTACATCACAGCGTCCTTCACTCTGACACCACCACAAATGTTCAAGTTCAAAGCAAAAGCAGTGATTTCATGTTCTGGTTTTCCAATAAATTGGAAAGACGAAACCATAAGCTATACTTAGGAATTATTGATGGTGCAAAGCAAAACAGATTTACATTCAATAATCATAACACTGTTACATTTTGCAATTTGTTCGTCCGGCTTAACAGGTCGTTCATTCGTTGTACAATTGTCAAACCTTGTTACAGGGCTCTCACTGGGGTTAACTTCAGCTGTGTTTCGTTTAAATGTTCCCTTATGTATGAATGGTTAAAAAGAGGAGTCATAATAATTAGTTTAGTTTCCTGGTTACCAGGTTACCTGGCTCCTTTAATTGCACAGCATGATAATGACAGAAATTGCATTTGTCAAAAATCTCCATGAAGCTTTTATGGGGACACTTGGGCTGAAGTCGAACAGTCCATTTAGCTTAGGAACCTTCCTAACGGAGTGAAATGACCCGGAGGTCCCTCAGTGGCAGCCATGATAAGTGCCGTTCGAATTCTCTAGTCTAGATGATAGGAAGGGAGGTTTCAAACTTCCTTTATAACCTCCTTTAGCTTAGGAACCACTGGACATCCCTTTACGAAAGGAGAGGAGAAAATGCTGCCCCACAATGCCTTGCAGCCGCAGCATTTACCGTCACACAACAGTCGGCCATTCACGGAAACAACAGATTTAATCAATCGGTGCTTATTAAGTTTTTTAAAACGTGGTAACTTGCCAAAGTGCTTTGTTTTGAACGTTCATCAGTATTATAATCAAAAAGAGAAATATGAACGTTAGTTTTTACTGAAATCAAATAAAGTCAACATTTCACAGTCTTTACTGAGCTGTGTGGGGTTTATTCAACTTTTAAAAGATGTTTGAATGGTGATGTACACAGTGATAGATGTTAAGACTAACGTTTATAATAAATACATTTGTATTGATTTTAAGATATTTTCATGGTTCATACAATCATACGTATTTGGATCATTTGTATTAATGTGGACCGGAGGGAGAGGGTGACGAGCATAAGTTTCACTTTCATTTTTTATTTCAATTCCAACTTTAGTCATGAAGAATATGTTTCTCTGTCCTCCACGTTCATAAAGCATAAAACAACAGCATCAGAGCACGGTGCAGAGTCTCTAGATGAGTTTACAGTAGTCCGTCGTTCTTATTATACATCCATGTTGTAGTCCGCTGTATAGAAAACTGTAGTTCTCATTCATAACACTCCGTTCGATGTCTCACTATGGGATGCGCCTCTACGCGTATGCAAACAGAAGCATCAATCTCATTACGCCAATCCTGATTGGCTGGTGATCTTGACGTCTACGTCAGGGAATGCACCCACCCTTTAAGTAGCTTGCGCTATGTCGCAGCGTCATTCAAACACCTCTTCTCGCTTCAGAGCACATCTCGAATATCAGTAGCCGGGCTAGCTTAACGGTCCACAGACTGAACCCAAGCTAACATTCGGTCGACGGGCCGATGTGGGGGGGGAGAAATATCCCACATAAATCCGAAAAAAGTGTTGAGGCCAGGAGATTTTTAACAGAGTAGATGTAATTTCCAGTATTCTGGTGGATTTCGGGAGTTTGACACTTTTATCAGGCTTTACTTACATAGGATCCATTAAAAAGTTAAAAGTAGCAATAAAAGAGCCATATTTAATAATAACCACTAATTACTTAAAAATGACTATCTCTTTAAAATTGCATTGGACTGGAGTTTATCCAGACATAAAGCGACAGGGTTGTGTGTGCTAGAATCAAGTGTGTGTGTGTGTGTGTGTGTGTGTGTGAGCGCGTGTGTGTGCGTGCACGTGTGCATGCCCACTCTGGGTGAGAGTATTTTATGGGAGGGGGGTCTCACATTTTAAATTAAGCACCATATGTTGAGGACAATGGGTTGTGATTTTTTTTAAAATTATTATTATGTTTAAATCTTCTTAAGTTTGTGCGTAATGACAAAAACATCTAAAAGTTACCTTTGGACAGAGACTACAAGGAGTGGAGCAGTCCAAATGTCCCATAATATCCTATTTTAACCTAGTGGTACACTGTAAAGTTTTTTCACAGAAATGTACTGTATTATTTTACAGACCTTTCTTGTTTTTCTATATTACGTGTAAATACCATAAAAATACAGTAAATTACTTTTATTTAAAATAAATAAAGGTTTTATTCTGTAAATTGGTTTGATGAGAAATTATCGGTTTTTTACAGGATAATTCCATTGTTTAATTGTCTTGAATGTTAAATTACATTGAATTCTATGTAAAAACACATAAAATACACATAATTTTACTGCATGTAAAATGAAGGCAACTTTCTTTTTTTTGTTACAGTAAAACCTTAAATTGAATGTAACAAAATGTAAAAAAATAAAAAATAACTGTATTCTGTACTGTTGTAGAATACAAATAAATCTTATTATAAAACATCTCTAAAATGTTAAATAAATGTATACATCTTCACAAAAAATGTAATATATTACAGAAATACCCAAAAATGATTTTGTGTAAATAAAGTAGTTTTCATAGTATACTAAAATAGTTAACTGTAAAAAAAAAAGTGTCAAATAAAAAAAAATTAAAATGTATGTAAAAAGCTACGGCACTTTAAATGGAATCCAGCCATACAACGGCAGACAAGACAAGCAGGATTGGAATGAGTCCACAACACTCCTGATTGGTTGATATAAACGTCATCGAAAAAACCTGCCAATGAGCACTGTCCGCGCCTTTCAATCCAATTTGAAACTTCCACGTCAGTTTGAGCGGCTCTCCTGCGTAGCTACAGCTGTCTGTATGTCTGCTCACGAGTTTATGGACTAATATCGGGATAGTTTTATATCTACACGTTAAATATGAGCATCGGGACGTCAACAGAGAACAGAAGACTTGAGATCTGGTGAGTCCTGCAACTGTAATGGAGTTAAACATGTATTTAGATAATCATTAGTTTGTGAATGTTTAATTGTGTATTTAAGGTTACGTTTCTTCTTCTAGTTCAGTGAGTTTTGAGTGATGAGACATATATTTTATGGGAATCTGTGGAATCTCAGCTTTCATATGATACGTTTGTGCAGATAGCATGACGTAAAAAAGATCGCTTTTGCCAGTTATGTGCTAAAGTAGCATTAGCCCCGTTAGCTGGTAGACTTGTGTTTCGTTTAGTTAAAAATGGTTAATATCGTCAGTTAGCTGAGTTTCTTCCCGTTAAGTGGGTAAGCACCATCAATATGTTGTTACATTTTAAGAAGTCCTGAGATGCTGTTTCTTGCAAGATGTCCAACCGGCGGGACAATCGGGCTATACAGGTTAACAAGGTGGCTGCTAACGTTAGCTTACAGCTTATTGCAGTGCTGCCGCCATCCTCTCGTCTCCAACGCGAGACGATAGAGAGGCGAAGTCCCTCCCCTTCCGAAAGCCTCCATGGGACCCCGGAAGCGGAAAATTATACATTGAAGTCAATGGAGAGAGAAAGGTTATCTTTTGATCCCGTTTGAATTGTGCCACGAATGACACATATGATGTTTGTCAATCTAAAAGAACATTTTGCAAGTCAAAAAAATAAAAATGTGTCGTAAAACTGTGAAGTTACACATTTTTTCGTGTGAAACCGCTCAGTGAACTACAGGTCTCTCGTCTCGCACAATACGCGTCACCAACATAAAGATGGCCGTCACGTTAGCACATTTCACCTCATTCTTTCAGAATGAGAATAAAAGTATTTTACGAGGTGAAAATCACTACAAGTCTGGGCACGTTGAGGGCTGTACCTATATGAAAGGGGAGTTAGTCGGTTCTGTAAGAGCCAGCATGTGGGACCGGCTTTACAAGGTTTCGGTGAGTAATATGAGTGCAATGTGTAACGTTAATGTCAGCTAGCTAACATTAGCTAACAAGGTACACTAACATGTTTTGTTTTAGCAACTAGTTTTCTCCTTAAGAACTTTGTGGTCTCTGTGTATGCTGTGGATAACATTAGTGTTCACAAGAACAAGGTACACTCCCGTGTTTTGTTTTAGTTGCTCTTCAGATTGAAGCGGACAGTTTTATATCGACTATATGTGATCTCCTTTGTGTCATTTGAGTTTATTTGCTGTGTGTGTAGATTCAAGGATTTTGGTTATCTTGTCAATTTGTTTGGTTATCTAGGCACAGCTGTGTGTGACTCCCTCTGGTACACTGGTATGTGTGTTCCTAATGTAGAGAGCATTGATTAATTAATAAACTACACACTGAGTCTAGATCCTGACCAAATCCTTTTTTTTTGTTGATCAAATGTTTTTCAAAATTTATTCATACACATTTTTAAAAATTAGGGCTGTCAGTCGATTAAAAAATATTTAATCGCGATTAATCGCATGATTGTCCATAGTTAATCTCGATTAATCGGAAATTAATCGCACATTTTTTATCTGTTCTAAATGTACCTTAGAGGAATATTTGTCACGTTTTTAATACTCTTATCAATATATGAGTGGACAAATATGCTTTATGCAAATGTTTATTATCATTTGAACAATGACAAAATTCTCATGAATATTAAACACAACAACCTCATAGGTAATACAGAAAAATCAAACAATAACAACAATCAGACAAATATATGGAAAAAGAAACCCTCCCACCCCCAGATCCTGACCATCCTTGTATTGCTCATTCAATCTATTATAGCATGCTAACAAATGGTACTTACTTTATTTTTACAGATCTGCATGGGAGACGATGGCGCGATGCAGAGCGCTGTCTGTGATTGTGCACGAGGGATGTACAAATGCAGCCACGCTGCAGCATTGGCAATATTTGCCATGTGGCAGATCAGCTCCACAGATGTTGAGTGCCAGTGGAGGAATCCTGGCACTTCCAAAGTAGTCCAGCCGGTGTCTCAACTCTATCAACAGCAAGAGGAGACATACAACCCACTGGCCAGAGACATCGCCACTCAGGATGTAGACTGGTTCAGGTCTGCACTGAGGGGCACACAGTGTGGCATGGCATGGCTTTTATCACCTGAGCCAGAGCCGCAGCCTCAACATCAGGCCATTGTCACCGTGCCGGAGCTGGTGAAGGAGCATGGGGGTCGGGGGCTTGAGGCAATTCTTGCCTCATTGCGACTGACAAGAGACCAGCAAGCTGCCATCCAGACAGCCACCGTAGGACAGCGGACAAATCCCCAGTGGCAGTTACACAGACAGGGCAGGTTGACAGCCAGCAATTTTGGTGCTGTGCTGAGGTCGGGACTTTCATCCACTCCATGCGCGTCCCTCATGAAGAGGGTGCTTGGGGGTTACAATTTAGACGGAGTCATGGCTGTCAACTGGGGAGTTGTAAATGAGGCCGAAGGGGTGAAGGCTTTTGTGCAGGCCTATCGGGTGACAGTGATCGACGCTGGTCTCTTTGTGAGTGAGTCGGGTGTTTTGGGAGCATCACCCGATGGACTTGTGCAGCCATCTGCCCTGCTGGAGGTGAAGTGTCCACACAGCCAGAGGAACATGACCATCGCGGAGGCAGTCTAGTTATCATCCTTCTGTCTCCGTGAGGAGGGTGGGTCTTATGTTCTCAAGGAGAATCACCCATACTGGCACCAGGTCCAAGGGCAGCTGCACATCACAGACCGGAGTATCTGCTATTTTGTTGTGTGGACCACGAAGGAGGCGATCATCATCCCCATCCCCAAAGACCCTGCATGGCATGGAAATCTCCTCCTCCTGGAGAACTTCTACACTCAGCATATATCATTGCTGAAGAATGAATCAGTCCGTCAAAAGATGGTAATTTGACAGACTGAACTGCATTAATTTATGAAATGTGGATAATATCAGTGCGGTCAAAATGTGCTTAGTTATTGCCCTTTAGCTACTCAACCACAAATAATTATAGTCTTAGCTACTCAACCACATATAATTGTAGTCTACAAGTTTAAAACCTGTTACAGTGCATGTATGAGCAAGATCAGCTATTTATGGAAAAGTTTCGAAATTGTTCAAATATATTTTTTACATTTATATTGACATGACCAAAATTGGGACACCAGGGTTAAAGTGGTTAAACATAACGACTGGCATGAACTTGACTGAATACCATGGGCTGGAATATCAGTGTATCAAGTGTATAAAAAACAAAGTTGGTCTCTGTGTATGAAATAAGAGTGCTGTTGTGCTGTTTCTAACGTATGTCCCACAGAACGTAGCTCAATACAACAGTTAAAGCAGTGGCCTATTTGTTTCTCTCGTCTGATTTAGATTGCTCGCCTGGCTCTGGTAGGAGGCGCCAATTCAGAGAACCTGATCAGACGGATGCTGGCAACTGCTCTGACTAACGCCTTGGCCTGTCAGTACAACTGGGCTTGGAAGAAGCCATTCAAGGAAACGGCAATACAAGACTGCATATTTGGTGAGTTTCCTCCCCTGCAAACTACTTATTAGCTTAAGTGTAGGGAGTGAGGTGTGACTGATGGTGATTCAGAACATAATTATGCTCTTTGTGAGCCATATAGTACCGACTAGCGAGTTTGAATCCAACTCCTATAATGTATTTTATGTCTCTTCTCTGCCCTTGTTTCATGTCTCTCTGTAATCCCCTGTTGAAGAATAAAGCATGAACTTAATCTAACAAAAAAGGTTAGGTTGGAATCAGACCGGTGAAGCTATAAGAAATAAACCAAAAAAAGACAACCTAATTGGTGAGCTTTAGAGGTGCTCGGATGCAAATGTTATTACCTGGATAGAGCCAAGCTAGCCGTTTGCTCCTCTTTCCAGTCCAGTCTTTGAGCAAACTGGCTGCTGACTGTAGCTTGTGTTACTGTACAGAGTGAGAGTGATTTTCTTATTATAACAGAAGTTGTATGGGATACACACACTCTCTCTCTCCCTCACGCTTATTTTTGTAATCTTGTCTTTCAGCTGCTGCTCGGCAGTTCGACCGCAAGCTGACCCACAATGGCTTCAGTGAAACTGTGAAGAAGTGGCTTCGTTATGCTCCAGAGCGCGAGGGAGGCATCCCAAGGAACACAAGTGAAACGAACACAAGTGAAACAAACGCAAGCCCAACTTAGGGTACCCCACCACACTCTAATGTGTTTTCCTTGTGCATACAGTACAAAGGTTACCGCCTCACAGACAATACTGTTCTTTCATGGACAATAGACTGTTGTTCTTACAGTCAAAAATAAGTCAAATGTTTACAGCTTCGCCTTCATGGAAGACTTGAAGCTTCAGGCTGTTCTTGTTTGGAGTTGCACCAATGGTTCTTACACACCCTCTTTTTTTTGATGAGGGTATCTTGTGTAACTGTATATTTGCACATGCGATGTGTCCTCTGCATTTATTCCACAGCGTTTGGGGAGCAATAACGGGTTAAGAGTCTTGCTCAGGGACGCATTGCTGCCTGTTTTCTAAAATAAATTTGAATATTAAAATCATGTTTTCTGTCATTTTTAGTTTGATTTCACACATTTTGGGAAATATGGTAATTCAAGGTAATTTTGAACAAGCTAATAAAACCATCTGCCAACAATACATGGTGTAGTGTGTGTTTACAAGTTTGGACCACTTCATTCAGTACAGTATTGATGTTGCACTTGTTAATGGTCTGTTAAAGATCAAATGCAAAGATTTTTTTATAATTGCCAGTAAAAAAAACACTATCTAAGATATTGCAGTATTAAAATCGGAGATAATATGCGTCTGGCAATGCGCAATATTTATTTTGTTCAACCCCCAACACCAAGTCCGACGATTTATTTCTCAGCCGCTCGTCTCCGCAAGATGGCGTCGCGTGACGTCAGAGTGGCCAAACATATTTCCACCTGGCTTATCGCTCACAGCTGCTTCCGCCGATAGTACAACTTAGTTTCGTTATCATGTCTGATTCTGAGTAGACTATAGACTAAAAGCTTTAGGAATCCAAACTATAACATATAATAAGTACCCTGTATCAAGATTGATGTAAAACAAGTGAAATTTGACCTTTTTAGAGAGGTTTAGAAAAAATAAAGTCCAGGCGACCTCTGGGTAATTTGGGAACCATCAGTTCCATTTGAACTTTTTCACTGTAAAAATCATTTTATTACTTTGAATTATCACTATAGGTATTCATTCCATCCAAATACAACTGTTGTGAAAAAAACAAAAAACATACATGTTATCCTCTTAGCTCCACGGACCCGAAATCGCGTCATTTGCAGGAAACGACGTCTAAGGAACCTTAATATTTAATAAACTATGAATATTGTATATCCATATAACGGGAAAAAACTCATTTAACTGATCTTTTTCATTTATTTTTAAAAAAAAAACACAATGCTAACAGTGAGCCTCTGAATTAGCCCCGAGCGAAAAATGCTAACCTATTACTGCACCAAAAATCACTCCTAGCTCCCTTATTACTTATCCTAGCTCCACATCCAACACATTGTTTATGATCGTAAAGACACATAATCTAACGGTGCCCACCTCAACACTGAAAGATACAAACTCGCGAGGTTATCAACAAAAACGTACATCAAAACAAGTGGCGCTAGGTACTAACAAGAGCTAGGCTTACCTTCCTCTTTGTCTGGTCTAAAATGGCATTAAAACGATGATGTAGTTAATCCATAGGTTAATATCCAATGGGGCTGTGTCCCCTTTGAAATGTTCTGATAATCTATAAGCAATAAAACTGCAATTCCGTTATTTGCTGTCTGCTCTGTGCTCCGTGCGCTTTGAAATCAAATAAAAATTTGTTTACCTCAATTCTTTGACGTTTCTGCATTGCCCGGCTCTTTCGTTCTTTCGGTTGTTTTTTGTGCTCAAATATGGAGGGGACGGCTCCAGGTTTCAGCCTCCGATGTACTTTAAATGCTTCTCCACCAACAGACTTGACGATGGCAGGATCAACATCGTATGCATCGGACGCGAAGTGGTCAGAGCACAACTTGCTCCATTTTGTCGGCTGCCAGCCAACACGATTCACTAAAATAATCCAGTTTCGGCGGATGATTTTGTCTTGGGGGAATGAATGAAAAATTCTCCCAGATCCCGCACCGTTCGTACATCCGAAAGCACAACAATAACCCATGTTTTGCGTGATTTCGCGGATATAATTCAGAGTTTTCTGCACCAGTCATGAGCGAAAAACACCGCTGAAATGTGAACAGCGCACGAGACTGCCGAGTCGGGATATTTGGCCCAGAGACTGTTTGGCCACAATGACGTCACGCGCGCGGAGGCTGCTGGGAATGACATGTCAGAATTTCAGATGGCTTTGGGTCGAGTTTTGTATCAATAAAAAGCTTTTTTTCAGGTGTATTATCTCGATTTAAATTAAATAAAAAATACAGGCAGTCTTAAAAACAACATTTCTATAAAAATGTAGCATATTTGGAAGCTTTGCATTTCACCTTTAAGATGTAGACCTATACGCAGAAAACTCATTGGTGAAAAACATTCACTTTTTTAATGTGTTACAGTATGCTTAGAAAAGTTGAATATTTTAATGTAAGTTTTACATTTAGATTCCCATTTGGATGATGGTTGAATCAATATTGATTCCTAACACTGATTCAATATAGAATCAACTACAATTTACATGTAGATTCCCATTTGGATGATGGTTGAATCAATGTTGATTCTTAACATTGATTCAATGTCAAATCAACCAAAAATGTGCATGTAGATTCCTATTTAGATGATGGTTGAATCAACATTGATTATATGTCAGTTATGGTTGAAAGTCGTTTCAACGTTTATTCAACATTAAAACAATTTGCGCTTTCTGTTTAATTTCAATGTCCGGGTTTCGACATGGATTCAATATTTCTGCCTAACCATATTTCAACATTCATTCACTCATATTTTGCTATCTGGGCTCAGACTGGACCCCGTGCGTCATGGCGCGCGGAGAGTGATGGTCACTATGAAATGCGTAATGGCACTGCGCCACTGGCTGCACCCGACTTTTCTAGTACGGGGCGTGCCTATGGGTGCTGTCCTATCGCGGAAGATGGTCACCACAGACGCATGTCTGACGGGCTGGGGGGGTATAAACGAAGGTCGACCTGTCAGGGGTCTCTGGAGCAGAGACCTCCAACGGTCACACATAAATTATCTGGAGTTTTTAGTGGTGTTCCTCACCCTGAAACGCTTTCTGCCTTTTCTCAGAGGACATCATGTCCTCGTGAGGACAGACAATACGACCACAATATCGTATAAACCGCCAAGGGGGTTTGCGTTTCTCTCAGTTACACATGCTGGCACGCAAACTGATCTTATGGAGCTGCGGACGTCTCCTCTCTCTGAGAGCGACGCACGTACCAGGAGTGATGAACCTCGGGGCAGATCTGCTGTCCAGAGGTGCACCACTATATGCAGACTGGACTCTACATCCAATAATTGTGAGTCAGCTGTGGGTGCGTTACGGCCGGGCCGCGGTGGATCTGTTCGCATCAAAAGAAAACGCTCAATGTCAGCTGTTCTTTTCAATGCGCGATTTAAACGCACCGTTAGGCGTGGACGCGCTCGCGCACGTTTGGCCTCCGGTCCTTCTGTACGCGTTCCCACCCCTGGCTCTGATACCCCCAACTCTGGCCAGAGTGAGAGAACAACGCCACACACTGATCCTAATAGCTCCACACTGGCCTGCAATGTACTGGCTGGCGGAAATATATCAGCTGCTGTGCGGGCAGCCGTGGCAGCTCCCGCTACGCAGGGACATACTGTATCAGGCGGGGGGGGGGATGTTTCACCCACACCCAGAGCGCTTGGCACTATGGGCCTGGCCCGTGAGTGGTATAACCTGAATACAGTGGGACTCACTCAGAAGGTGATAACCACCAGGTCCCTCTATGACTGTAAGTGGAGGGTGTTTGAGGAGTGGTGCCTTAAAAAAGGACACATCTATTTTCAATGTCCTGTCGGGGTGATTCTATCATTTCTACAGGACCTGATTGATAAACACAGAGCTTTCTCTACGATCAAAGTGTACCTGGCTGCTATTGCTGCATGCCATGTGGGCTTTGAGGGAAAGACGGCTAGCCAACATCCCTTGATCTGCCATTTTATGAAAGGGGCTCGCAGGCTCCTCCCTGTTTCCAGGTCACTGGTGCCCTTATGGGACTTGGCAGTGGTTTTAGATGGGCTCACTCGACCTGCATTTGAACCCCTGGAAGGAGCTGACATGAAACACCTGTCACTGAAGACAGTGTTGTTACTGGCTCTGGCATCTGCCAAGCGAGTCAGTGACATTAATGCGCTCTCTGTATATCCTTCATGCACTCAGTTGGCCCCGGGGCAAACAAGAGTGTTGCTGAAGTCCAACACTGCCTGTATACCTAAGGTGGTTGGCTCATGTACCCCCATTGACATTGAGGCATTTCCTCCGCCACTGTGTTCCTCTGAGGAACAGCGGCCGAATTTGCTGTGCCCAGTCCGTGCTTTACGCACCTATATGGACAGGTCAAAAGAGTTTCGATGCAATGACCAACTCTTTGTATCCTGGGCTAAACCTCATAAGGGCAAGCCCGTTACCAGGCAACGGCTCTCCCACTGGATTGTGGAAGCGATTGCTCTGGCTTATACGAGTCAGGGTTTGCAGGCACCCACGGGCCTGCATGCTCATTCTACTCGTGGACTGGCTACATCCTGGGCTTTGTTCAAGGGTGTTTCCATCCAAGACATTTGTGCAGCAGCGAGCTGGTCCTCGCCGCTCACTTTTGTCTGCTTTTACAGGTTAGATGTCTCTGCTCCAAGTGTGGCCCGCGCAGTGCTGGACCCCGTGTTGAGACAGGGTTCTACCTGTTAAGTTCTGATTGTTTTGGTGATTTTCGAGATAAGCATGTCTAGCAATACGGGAGTTTCAATATCCCATAGTGAGACATCGAACGGAGTGTTATGAATAAGAACTATAGGTTACTTACGTCTGTATGTCTTATGTCTTTAATTTTTGTAAAGCACCTTGAATTGCCTTGTGTTGAAAGGTGCTATATTACATTACATTACATTGCATTTAGCTGACGCTTTTATCCAAAGCGACTTACAATAAGTACATTCGACCAGGAAGACACAACCTTGAAGAAAACAGAATCATATAAGTATATCAGGTTTCATAGAGCCAAACATTTCAAGTGCTACTCAACTGGCTTTAGGTAATCCAGTCCTTTATTAGTATAAAAGTGATGCAGAGCGTAGTGCACGCGCTGGGGTGTACAGTTTAACCATGTCCTGGATGTAGGAAGGGCCAGATCCATTCGCAGCACGGTAAGCAAGTACCAGTGTCTTGAAGTGGATTCTAGCAGTTACCGGAAGCCAGTGAAGGGAGCGGAGGAGCGGAGTGGTGTGGGAGAATTTAGGAAGGTTGAAAACCAGACGAGCCGCTGCATTCTGGATGAGCTGCAGAGGTCGGATGGCACATGCAGGTAGACCAGCCAGGAGGGAGTTGCAGTAGTCTAGGCGT